CAACTTGATTTTTAGGTCGATATTGAAAAGACACAATAATTTCTTAACATGCAACAATATTGTGTTATTCTTCTTCAACATTCACACTCTTGATGTCGTGAATACGAAAGTACAAGTATAATGTCAATACTCGTATCGAATATGATATTGTGTATGAAGGTATTTATGATTAAATATAATTAATCTCTTAATAGGGTACGCCTATATGTAATTACTATTGTTAGACCTATGTGGATATTCTATGACCTACTATAATTTAAAACTCATTAGTATAATCACTAGCTAAAGACATATACACATGAGTAACAATGCAATAGAGCTCATGCACGGTATTCTATAGTGTGGATCATGTAAAACTATATAAGATGGTCATGTATCAGCTATCAATCTAATTATAAATACAATTTAGAATATTTGGTTCTTACTCCATAGTATGGTATCACTTTACCATTGAGTATTCTCCATTTCCATTCAAACTTTGTTACAAGAATTCATTGTTATTCCTTCATCTTTGTTCTTGAATCTGCATTCAGAATGTAGAACTTCCATTATGTTCTTTTTCTCTAATCGTTATCATGATTTCATATTAGTTTTCAACAACTTTTTTCCTTTTACCGATCCTAGTCATTATACCTCTTGGGTGTTGCTCCTCAAGTTAACCAACATGACATTGAATTAGATTTCTATGTTCATCCGAGTGAATGCACCAACTATGTTGATGTAGGTTTAAAATTGGATGGTTCAAATTACTTGACTTGGATTAGATTAATAAAATGAACTTTGGAGTTAAGAACAAGCTCAATATCATTGGTGGATCAATTGAAATTCTTGGTGCTCATGATTTGAATCAAAACCAATGAGAGAGGTGCAATAATCTAATTCATTCATGGATTATCAACTCTATTTCCAAACAAAATGCATCTGAAAATCGTTTTTTATGAGAATGCTTTTATGTACAGAATGATCTAAATGAAATATTCTAAAAAGCTAATAGAATTAGTATTGTTGTTCTTTGATCATCTAACAATAATCTGAAATAAAATTCCAAAATTTATTTATCTCTTATTACAAAATTAAGTTTGTAAAAGTTTGGGAGTGATAGCTTTATATTTGGAGTTTTTTTACTGTTCTGCCCTAGTTTGAAAACATAAATCCCATAATACCCTACTTTGGAAAAAAAATCAAACGTGCCCTAAATTCCCTACTTGCTCGTCCACTCAAGTGGCGAGCAGATGAAATGTTTTTGCTGATGAAGGTGCTCTTCCACTCAAGTGGCGAGCACGTGTGGTTTTTTTTTCCATTTTCTTATTTCATATAAATCATTTATTTAATAATTTTAAATATAAAAAACATATCATAAAATATATTATATTAATTTAATACTATTTATCAATTAAAAATAATATATTTAAACAATTATATTAATTTAATAATTAAATACTATTTAAAAATATATTATATTAATTAAATGTAATAATAAAATATATGAAGGAATTTATTCAAACAAAAATACATTTTCCATATAAATTTTCTCAAAAATGGCCTCCAGCTCCACACCTAGTGGCCCTTTTATGTCGGCATCCCCTGCCCACACGTTCATTTGCATTCCTTGTAGGTGATTGAGATGAATCAGAAGACATATCTTGATCGTGATGTGTTGTAGGGGGTCCGCCTGCCTTGAAGGGGGTTCCGCTTGTGTCGAAGGTTGCTTAGCAAGAAGATCATCAATGTTAAAATTTGGCACATTGAAGGGGGTTCCGCTTGTGTAAGTTGGTGGCACATCCTGATGCATCGGTGCGGCATTTGGTTGTGTTGATGATGAACCTTGCATGCGAGGGTCGATCAAAAATTAGTCTGGAGCAACATGCACATATGGAATGACACGAAACCAATTTAAATACTCTTGGCTTGGCTTGTGTTCACTAACTATAACGTCCCCCCTACAAAATCAAATGTCTTCTATATTTCCATTCTTTCACCTCCTCTTTGTTTAATTCTCGCCAATGAACTTTTTGGGCTTTTCTCATCGCCATTGTGTGGTGTTCCCTTAGACACCTTGGCGGGGAAGAGATTTGTTGTTCAAATCCGAACTGGAGTTTTACCCTATCTGTTTGATGCATTTCAATAGTATAGAAACAGATAAGAGAAGTTGTAGCGCTCCAGATCTGGCTATCTCTAAGGTTGGGCACCGGGTATTGAATGTACGGCCTCCATATAAACTGTCACATATTAAAAAAAGTTATAATACAATTAAGAAGTATATGCAACAACTAGGTTCTATGATTTCAAACTCATGTCTTTTTCTTGCATGTGGTCCAATACATTTTGATACCCTTGTAGATGGAAACGAGGATTAGCATCGTAATTCATGCGTCTATGGGCCCATCTTGCAGAAACAAAAAATATAAATATGTTAGGCATAGTTGACTAACAAATACACACACACACACACACACACACACACACACACACACACACACACACACAAGCATAGTTGACTAACAAATACACACACACACACACACACACACACACACACACACACACACACAAACACACACACACACACACACACACACACACACACACACACACACACACATATATATATATATATATATATATATATATATATATATATATATATATATATATATATATATATATATATATATATATATATATATATATATATATATATATATATATATATATATATATATATATAAATGTGTGTTTTAATCTAGTAATACCTTTGAGCGCATGGATATGATAGTTGTAATGTACTAACAGGAGCAAACAATGGTATACGCGTGAATGCCCAAGAAGTGAGTAAAATAACACAACCACTCATGCTTCTGACATCTTTGATTGTGGACTTGCACATTTCTCTGTACAGTTTTGCAAGAAATGCAGAACCCCAACTAAAGGTGTTGCATTTTTCTAGATCCTCTATGAGAGGAATCCAAGAAGAATGCAAAATATTTTGACTCTTGTCGAGAAACAAAATAGTAGCAATTACAAGTAAAATATAAACTTTAGCTTGTAAAATAGTACGTTCTTAGGTTGGGGCATAGTTATTTTTTAAAACTCCGTATAAATTCTCTATCCATGTAATCCTAACAGAACTTCTGTTTTTATCCGCTTCTGTAGGTTCCACCCCTATATTTTCCAAGTAAACATCATTTGTTACTTCGGTAGGACCGTTGATAGCTTTCCGATCAACTCGGAGACCAAGTAACATATTCACATCTTTTAACGTTATCGTGCATTCACCTATTAGGAAATGAAACGTGTGAGTTTCTGGTCTTCATTTCTCTAACAGAGCTACAACTAGGCTGGAGTCAATTTTGAGACTATTTATTTTTGCGATATTAGCAAAACCTGCTATTTCTAAATACGGGATTATTCTCGCACTTGCTTGAATGAGAGCATGAGAATGCACTCGAAACCTTGCATTATTCTGAAAAGAAATGAATTAATAGTGAACACAAAAATTATAAACATTATTACATAGAATATTAGAGGAAAACTTACACTAGCTTGAATGTTTAATTGTGTTCCACGGTGTTCATCACCTATCCACAACAAATATATTTTGATAGAGTGTAAAAGTATTTGGAGAAATGCTCGAGTATTTGTCTGCTAGAGTGTTTTATGATAGAAGTAAAAATGTTTGTAGAAAAATGTTTGAAGTAAAAAAGAATTTATAGATGAAGTAAAAATGTTTGAAGTGTAAATGTGACAAATAGAAGTGACATTACACTGAGTTCTGCATGGCATTGGTAATGGTTAATTGCATGGAATGCATGCAAGGTTACTACGTAGGTCTTACACAATGTACCTTGCATGGAGACCATCTTTGCAGCCCTCATGTGCTTGCCACTTGAGTGGATGAGTTGTTGCGTGGGAAGAACATGCTCGCCATCTGGTTGAGGGAGCAGACACTAGGGAAGACCATGCTCGTCCTTTGAGTGGACGAGGACACACGTGCTGTCTTTTCTTTGCATGCATTCCAAGAATATATGTCTATATTATATTTTTTTGTAACATCACTCCATATTCCATTAACAAAATCATAGAGTTCTCACATAAAATATGGCTCAAATAAATATAATAGTTACCTGCCACTTTAATGGTACTGTTTCGATAAATAGTACTATTGGATTCTCCTTCGACAACACAAATACTTACGCATTCAAAATTCATGTCAATTTTGATTTTTTTCATTTCAAAGATAGAATGGAAAAAAATTAGAATGATTCATTAAGGAGATTATTTATCGCCATCCATTACTTAATGGAGAGGACGGTATAATTTTTTACGTAATGACGCCAATCAGGAATGACGAAGATGTGGAAGCAATGTTTTAGTGCCACATGATGTTTGTTCAGCTACCCACAATTGAGTTGTATGTTCGTCTACTGGAAAATGCCGAAACATTTCCGAGGCAAGAGACACAATCACACTAATATGGAATGAGCCAAACATCTGACGACGAACCAACACAAAACAACGAACCTTTCATACCAAATGAAGAGGTTGGGAAAGCAAGTGACGGTGATCTTCAAGAGGTCAAGATGCAAGATATTTTTGGTAACAGCGATGACGAGGACGATGAATATATAATAGTCGCGTCTACGCAATCGATTTGCGCCGAACCAATAAGCTTGTACAACCCATCTTCACATATGCATAATATATGTATGTAAGATGATGAAACAACCTCTGTGTTTGGAGGTGTCATACCAAACCATATAGGTGATGAAATTCAGATTGGGATGGAGTTTGAAAACAAGGAAGCTTGCGTTTTCGCTCTGCAACATTGGCATATAACATACAATATTGACTATTGGGTTTACCAATCTGACAATGAATGATACTTAATTAAATGTAAGAAACAAGATTGCAATTTTAAATGAAGAGCTTCCTTGAGAAAAAGGAACTCAAAATGGGTGATTGGTAAGCTGTTTAGGCCTTACACATGCATTACCACGTCTATGGCACAAGACCATAGGAAGCTCGGTTCAGAAATGATTAGCCACAACATTAGAGAGCTTGTCAACCGAGACGATTCACTTAAGGTGAAGGTGATCATTGCCCATATTCTTGAAAAATATAGGTACATAATATCTTGCAGGAAAGCACAGATCGCTAAGTGTAAGGCCATAGAGTCGCTCTACGAAAATTGGGAAACATATTACAACGACCTGCCACAGTGGATATTGGTAATGAAAACCTATCTTCCTGGAACCATTATTGATTTGCAAACCCTACCTGCAATTTCAAATGATGGTTCCCAAATCTCTGAAAAACGAATCTTCCATCGTCTGTTGTGGGCATTTCGACTGTGTATACGTGGCTTCGCCTACTGTAAGCCCCTTGTGCAAGTAGATGGAACATGGTTGTATGGAAAATAAAGAGGAGCTCTATTGATGGTGGTGGCATAGGATGGAAATGCAAACATTTTTCCAATAGCTTTTGCATTGGTCAAAGGTGAAACAAAAGAAGCCTGGAGCTTTTTCCTAAGGAACCTGAGGTTACACGTGACACCACAACCTAATTTGTGCCTAATCTCAGATATACATGAATCGATAAAGAATGCATATAAAAATCCCGAAAACGGATGGCAAGATCCACCATCTTCACATGTCTACTGCATTAGACACATTGCGTAGAACTTCATGCGCGAGATTAAGGACAAGGAACTATACAAAAAACTTGTTAACATGGGTAACAAAATACATTTGAGTTATCTGAACTATTTTATCATACTTTTACTATTTTTTTTCATACCATTTCTATTACAGGTTACGCATTGACGGAGGCTACATTTAACTACTATCGCGAAGAAATCTGAAGAACAAACATTGAGGCCTCACGTTGGATAGACAACATACCTATGGAGAAGTGGGTTAAAGCATTTGATGGAGGGCAACGTTGGGCACATATGACATCTAACTTGGAAGAGGCCATGAACTATGTACTAAAGGCAACCCAAAACCTTCCAATTACTGGATTGGTCCAGTCTACATACTATCGCATGGGTTCCCTCTTTGGTAAACAAGGCCACAAATGAACCAACATGTTAGCTACTGGCAAAGTTTTCACGGATGGTTGCAACAAGGGAATGGTTGATGAGGTAGCCAAGGCTAACACACATAATTTCATGCAATTTGATCGTGAAAGATTTTGTTTCATGGTGTAGGAAAAAATTAATCATAACAATGATCGTCTGACGGGTACTTTCAGCGTTGACCTGAGGAATCGTTGGTGTGACTATGGGAAATTTCAGGCATTTCACTTACCTTGCTCCCACGTTATCGCAACATGTTCAAGCATACGTCAGGACTACACCATTCACATTCCAAAAATCTTCACAGCTCTTAACGTATTCAAAGTCTACAAAGAAAGCTTCCTTGGACTACCACACGAGGAGAACTGGCCAAAATATGAAGGATTTACGCTTTGCCACGATGATTCAATGAGAAGAAATAATAAGGGACATCCAACTAGTAGTAGGATTAGAACTGAAATGAACGACGCTGAAAAGGAAAAGAGAAGGTGTGAGATTTACAGAGAAATAGGCCATATGTGTAGAAAATGTCCAAATGTTGTCGGCCCGTCAAACCGACCGTCTAGATAATTTTATTTATTTTACATATTAATCATTTGTGAAGTTTTTTTCTTGTACTTGATTTCTCTTTAATCCAAAATTTATTTGTAATGCAAGACAACTTTTAGATTACCGCAATACTAGCATATTACAACCATGAACTTAATATCAGCTTGTCCATACATCATCATGACACAATCATAATCGTCCAATGGATGGTCGATCATCATGATGCCATAATTTATATTTTCAAAATAAAATTAAAACTCAAGAAGCTAACATACAATCTAATCAACAACAGCAACCAACACAAGTGGATCTTCAACTCCTTTATTAACTTTGCCACTATGTGCTGAAAATATACATTGGACATCTTCATCATTTTCTATACGACCCAAGTAATACACGTACGTACCCTCTGAGCTTCCATCATTCAATGTTATATACGGACATCGATACTCCATTTTTTTCACCTTTATGCGACGACCACCCAACTGTCGAAAACCCGTGTTAATTGTTGCATTCACGGTTCTGAAATTCTACTGCGGATCCAGGTAAACACTGATTTTTTTCTCTTATCCATACAAAACAAGAGCTTTTTACCTTTATAGTATTTATTTTCAACGAATAATAATAAGTATATTGTATTAATTATCCTAGACATGTAAACTAAAAGCAATTTGATATTTGAATGTGATAAAGTTGTTCGTAAGCATGACAACAGGATGGAGCAGGAATAAATAATTAAACTTCATGTTTGTCTCAAACGGATTGGAGTATCCGTGATTTGCCTCAATCCCCTCGTTGGAATTAATTTTTTTAATAGAAATGGTTCATTTTTCCAAACATAAAACTTACCCCCCAAACCCATAATCCTTTTTGAACTCAATATTAGTGTTGAACGCTAACAAACATTACGAATAATAAAATAAAGGGTTAATACACGTCTTGCCCCCTGCCATTTGGGGTGAATTTGAAAAATGACCTTGTAAAAAACACATATTCTGTCCTAGCCATTTTAAGATTCTTCTCTTTTAGACCTTAAGTGGATCTGGTCGACTAAGATGCTGATGTGGTAATGACAGCGTGACATTTTTTTTTCCTGTTCACTTAAGTCACAACCTAAGTGTATTTTAAAATGTTAATAATAATTTTAATTTGTCGCATTATTTAATTGATTAATTCTATTTACTAATTAATAAAACTAACAATGTAAAATTAAATAGGATAAATCATCTTCTTCATTTCCTCTTTCTTGTTTGCAGCTAGGGTTCAAAATTTTCCTTTTTCATGAACTTCAGTTCGTACCGCCATTGATCTGGGACTATGATTGGAAGTGCGAGTTCAGGCTACATGTCCAGTGGGAGAAAAACACTGGTTTGTGGGCACGAGCTTCTAATGAGAATCCACGCTTCAAAATCAAGCTCAAACCCAGGAAGAAGATATGGAAGTGCAAATTTTGGGGGGTTTGTTAAATTTTCTTCATATCATTTGTTCATATTATTTGCTTGTTCATTTGTTTGTTGAGTACCATCTCTTCTCTTGTTTTTCCAAAACGATGATGATTGGCATCTATTTTATTGGGATGATGAACTGTTTTAAGGAAAACAAGTTGTACCAAGATACGATGGAGGTTGCTCTGAATGTGAAAACATGAAAATGGATATGAGGAAATATGAAGTTGAGTTTGGGAAAGAGTTTGGTCATGAGTTTGGAAATGCATTTAAGAACAAGAAGATCGAGAAACTAAAGCTGAAAGCTGCAAAAGATCACAAGACCATTCAGACACTCACTTACATTCTTGTTGCATCTTAGATATTTTTTGCTATAATGTTTTGTAATAGGTATAATGGAAGTAGGTAGAATGTTTTGTAATAGGTAAAATGTTTTGTAACCATTTTTAACTATAGATGTATGCAATCCCTTGTAATGAGATCCCTTGTAATTTATGACTCTTAAATGAAATGAAAAATATGTGTTTGGTTCAATACCAGTTTGCAATATCTGTTTGGTTCAATATCATATTGGAACAAATAATGTACTTATAAGATAGAAACAAATATCATATTGAAACAAAGTAATACTTCAAAATAGACTTACAATATTAGTATGCATTAACATTAGATTCCAAAATAATCAAGGTACAAATACTCAATATTAGTCTTCAAAATAGACTTATAATATCAGTCTGCATTAATATTAGATTCCAAAATAATCAAGGTACATAGTACTCAATATCAGTCTTCAAAATAGACTTGCAATTTCAGTCTACATTAACATCATGCTCATGGTACATAAGATTCCAAAAAAGACTTACAATACCAGTCATGCATCAATATTAGCGTGCATTAACATCAACTTAAGCACATTATGTGCATTACAAACATGAAAATAAGGTTCAACCTAAGCACATTATATGCATTACAAACATGAAATAAGGTTCAACCTAAGCACATTATGTGCATTACAAACATCAAAATAAGGTTCAACCTAAGCACATTATGTGCATTACAAACATAATAATAAAATTCAAACTACAAACATTAAGCATATTTCTTCTTTTTGGTAGACATAGATTTCTTCTTTTTGGTAGACATAAATTTCTTCTTGTAGGCCACCCTTCGTTTCTTTTTTGTAGACTTGGTAGCAACAACAACTTCAGTAGTGTTAGGGGCTGGATTCACAATCTGAGAGGATTGAGTTGCTTGGTATTCAGCCTCAACTGATGCATCAAATTCACCATAAAAATAGTCCACTGCAGGCTCATCCATTGTAGGCTCGTCCATTGTATGCTCATCCACTGCAGGCTCATACATTGTAGGCTCATCCACTTTTCCACTTTTCCTAAGTGTTTTTCTCTAAGACACCAAAACACAAACATCATAAGTTATGCAGTACTAAAAAAACACGAAACAGAAGACAAACAAAACAATAGACAAACCTTTCTCTTTAATGCGTCATGGTTTTGTTTTTTACTCTAACATTTTCTTGAGTTATGACCAATCTTGTCACACTTAGTGCACCTGTAGCTGACACCGGGCCTTCTCATTCTAGAACCATTTTCATCAAGTTCCCTAAACCTAATTTTCCTAGGTCTAGCTTGACCTTTCTTAAATGATGGTGGAAGCATATCCTCAACATCTACCTTGGGCCATATATCCATGCCATTAGTAGGACTCACATTGTATGAGTAACACTTACTATATGTTTCCCTACTATAGCAGTCATCTACATATTATTTTGGATCCAACTTCTGATAACTCATAGCAGCTATGGCATGTCTACATGGAATGCTCACAAGTTCCCAAAAACATCATGTACACGTTTTTTTACTAAGATAAAAAAATGAATTGATGACCATCAAATGTATGGTTTATCTGTCATATCATGCCAATGCTCCATGTAGGAACCCACTGACCACTCATCATCACCTCCTTGTCTAACCTTTTCCTAGGCATAAGCATTATCTTATGTTTCCACTTGTCTAATTTGGTTAAGTTTACAACTACCCTATTCATAAGATAATTTCTAATTCATTCACACATTGTGATAATTGGTTTATCTCTAGCCTGTAATATAGTACTGTTGAAAGACTCACTAATGTTATTCATCAAAACATCACACTTTAGATAGAAACTAAAAGCATGCTTACACCATAATTTTAATGGAACACCCATTAGCCATTCTCAGGCCTTCTTATCCAACTGCCTTAACTTGGACATCTTCTTCTCCCAAGGTTGATAGTAGGTTGCTTTTACAACTCCCATCATGAGATCCCTAATTGCATTTCCTCCACCAATTTTT